CTACAACAAATTAGCTCACATCGTTCATCAGGTATGCTGTTATTGTTGGTATTATCATTTACTAAAAATTAGGGCTTATAAATCGTTTGAATCAATCGTAATGAATAAGACACAACAAATGTTTATAATGACGGGTTTATTAATTATGGGGTTTTTTCAATCAGGACAATGCCAAGTTATGAATTCAGTCACACTAAAATTGAGAGTCGAAATAATTGAAAAATGTCAATTAGTTCTTACATCATTCCAATAAAGTTGACATCATTTCTAGGAAATCTTTTTTTACTTTTTCAAAATAAGTTCGTTTTCAATAACGGATGCATGTCGAAAGCCAGATTTTGAAATATTGCCATTTGAACTTTTTAGCACAACATTACATACAAATCCCTTTTAATTGTATATCATTATTTCCAGAAAATCTACATAACTCAATAAATGAACAATATTTGTTGGCTCCAAAAAGAAATACATTAATGCAAGGTAAAGAAAACGGTGATACAGAAACCAGCCATCTAATTCAACATATGATTCCTTCAGTATGTGCTAAATCAGAAAATATGAAACGGTCAACTCATATGTGTTGCAACAACGATCTTCCAACTTTATATGCCGGTAAAAAAAAGAAAAAAAAATGCAAATATGCATATCAGTTAATTCTGGTAAATTGAGAATAAAATGCTAAGTTCCATAATAAATTATTTAAGAAACTTAAAAGCAGTTTTTCTTTTTTTTCCATAAATAAAATGGAATGTGGTTTCCACGAAATAGGTTTCTTCCTTTCTGGAATATCACATTTTTCCAATTTTTTTTTCTGAATTGAATTATTCTTGATTTTTTCTAAAAAATCAACCTGACCTTCTAAGATGTTCTACACAATAATATACATATAACTTAACTTTTTTTGATCAAGTAATTATACAGAAATAATTAATTTATTAAAAAGATGGTAGCCTGATTCGTGTTAGGAAGGAATTTGAGAAGTGAGGGGAAAAAAGAAATCAATTTCCCAGCAAAGGTTTTGAAAGATGCTTTTGATCAAGTAACTCATCCTTCGTTTCCAGTCTTAGCGGTTAATATTTTTATTTTTCAGATTAAATACATTAACTTAGACATAAATTAATTCAAATACTATATTATCCTTATTGTAGGGTTATCAAAATCATCGTTCAATAATGAATCATTGGTAGAACGACCAACACCAGTCTATAAGGAAGGAGCGAATAATAGTAATGGGACAGTTGAAGATGATCAACCGTTAGATCTGAGCTCACGTCGCGCTCTTCAAGCAGCAACACAATGCGCTGTATCATCCCCTCATAATTATCGTGATGGAAGACGATGGCGAGCATTAATCAATGCCATCTCTGATAAATCACCCAATTCTCTTCCTAAGTATGTGCAAAATTTTAGAGTTACTTTTTGAAAATATTCAAATTTCTCCTCTTAGAATTGCATTTAAAAGTGTAGAAATTTGTCTTAATGCAATTAACTTTTCAAGCAAAATCATATTTGTTCAAAAGCATTACTGAGAACAATAGCAGCAATTAACCGGTTAATTGATTGATTAATTAATGAAATAGTTTACTTCTCTTTTGTTTATTATCGATAAGCAAACAATACAATCTATTATTAACGTTCATTTTAGTGGCTAAAAGTTAACGAATTCAATCATAAGTGTTACTTTAAGTGAATGATTTATAACAATATTACAGAGATGAGGAAAATAATTCTGTAATTGGCCATACGAAAAATATCATTGGAACAAGAACTATCCATCCGTCGATGAGCAAAAGAAATTATACCCAGGCGGATTTGGATGCTGCTGTACGGGATATCCGATGCGGCCGCCTTGGAACACGACGAGCTAGCGTAGTTTACGGAATACCGAGGTTTCTATTAATATAGTGTTTTTTGACAAAAGACAAAAGTGTTTTATTGCACAATTAATCACTCTGTCAAAAAAGAAATTTCAAAAAGACTTAAAAGATGCATAGGAAGCTTAACGGGAGTATACCTCTTGAATAGAAAATATACATTTAAGGTGGCCAATTCTATGCAACTTTGAAAGGAAGTGTAATTAATTGTGCTGTAATGTGCATAAATTGTAGATCAACTTTACGCAATAAGATCTACAAGCTCGATGCAGTTGATGATCAGCGGACGAATGGTACTGGCGGAAAAAAGAAGCGCTTAGATAGTTTTGGTACCGCGATAACACCGAACAGAGTTCAGTCTCCACCAGCTGTTACGATACCTTTGCCGAACAATGCTAATGGTCATTCTACTGAGTGAGTAAAACTTATTTCTTAAAAAAATTTTTTGTTTATAATAAGTGGATTTTAAATGAGAATAACAAAAAATTTTACAAATTTCACTGATAAAATTCCACTAAAAAAGACGAATCAATTATCATATATATATATTACCATTGTAGGATTATTTTACCTCCTACACAGGCGCTTGTGACAGTTGATGGTGTGTCGGTGCCGGAAATAATTCAGGAGATTGATCCAAATAATAAGGCTCATTTTGCGAATCAGGAACCGATCAATGGTATTAGTAATCTTAATTTTGATACTTACAAATCCATTAAATATGTCAATTAATTATCGGCACAATCTTAAGCTATAGGAAACGATGAGTCAATTGTGGAGAACAAGAAATCGCTTTGGTCACCTTTTGCGCATCGTCAGATATCCGAACCAAAAAATATCCATGCAAAAGAAAAGAAAACCGGTAGAAGTCCGACAAATAATACTGAAAGTCAACCTGACTGGAAAAAGTCGCGTCCAAAACGAGGCCAGTACAGGTATATCTTTTATTTTAATATGAATCTGGATTTTTCCAAAATACTGCTTATATCGTTCCTTAATAAATTACTTATTAAAATTGTTTAATACATTACAGAAAGTACAAGAAGGATGCACTGGACGAAGCGGTCCGATCAGTGCGTCGCGGTGAAATGTCGGTGCATCGTGCCGGTAGCTTCTACGGGGTACCTCACTCAACTTTAGAATATAAAGTGAAGGAAAGAAATTTGACTCGTACAAAATGTAAGAAGGCAACAGCAGAAAATATTTTTGAGGCAACAAATTCCGGTAATAATCCTTAGTTTATTTATTTTTTCTTCTGTTTGTTGATAGTTTCTAACTTTAGGGATTGGGATTCGGAGAATAGATTACCATGGTAGCTTTCAAATATCATTAATGTAAACCGTAAGAGTTGGAGGAAAGGAACAGCATTCAAAATTTTTATGAAGTGAAATTAAACTAAAGAACAATGACACTCGTATTTTGCCCATTTTAATCACAAATCAGAGGAGTAAGTGAAGAGAAAGAGGAAAGAACTTGATGGGTAGCAATAATATTCATGCTTTCATGAAACCTATACTTTTCAGGTCTTGATCGATCTAATTGATATTAGATCTCTTGTTTAATTAATTGCGCAACGAAATAATTTCAAATTGGTGCTAATTCCTCGATATGCATTTACAGGCCATCATATCAATCCCAGTAATACAGAAGGTTCACTATCGAAGAATTCGCCCCAGCAGCTACCGTTAGCGAATCCAACGATGAATGAAGTTGGTACGGCACCAGGTATGAGGACACTTGGTGTATTGACCACTGCGACATCCGCAGTTCCTTCGTAAACTTTCCGTTCTGTTTTTATTGTTTTTCTTTTTTTAAATCGTTCAATTCCATCATTAAGTATTGATCTTATTGTTTGAGTTTTCTTGAGGCAAACTATTGTGATATCTTTGATGTGATAGTAATGTGTGTATGTTCGACACATTTAATTTGTTTAATGATTTATCATTTTCATGTCTCATTTCTTGTTCAATGACAAACAAAAGCGATAATGAAGGTATTATGCGATATTTCTTTCTATTTTTTTTTTTTCCCCTTTTATATTGTGATATTTCCAAAATAGAAGACTCAAGATCTTTGTTCTCATTACATCTTTTCTGCATTTGCATTGAAGATAGGTATGGCAAAAATTTCGACAAATGCGCTTTGTTACAACAGCCATATTTTCCGAGTAATAATATTGAATTGCTAACTAAGGAATCCTTGTATTTAACCGCAGTTCTAAAAAAGAATACAATCAATCATATACGAATAGTTCCATTAGCCTATTTAAAAAAACAAAAAAAAAAAAAAAAAAAGAAAAAATGTGAGAAAAATGGATAGACAGATAATTCAGAATGTTCTAAATAATACTTGGAAGTTTAATGAAAAGTTGGCTGCTTAATGGGTGATAAAATGAATACTCTTGATCTATTCCATTCATTTTTCTCACATTTTTTTTTTCTACATCTACTAATAGATTAATACAGTATAAAATCTTCGCCTAGACAAATTTTAAAGAAGGTTGGTTGCTTAAAAATTCAGAATGTCCTAAATAATACTTTAATGAAAAGTTGCTTGATTAAGTAGGTAATTAAAAAATGGAATGGTCTTGCTCCATCTAATAATCTTTGGAACTATCATCAATTATTCTAGCACAACCATATTTCATAAATTTATCGATCGGAAATAGATAGAAATCCCGTGTAAAATTACAGATTGTAGTTTCTTTTCACACGCAATTTTAGATCATTTCTGTGCCCCAGAAAATTGCTGTTCATTGCTTTTCCTTTCTCCAAAATTAGATCTGAAATCAAGTACTAAGCTCAAGATTTAGTTTTCCCAACTATTTGCAGAACCTGAAGTGTAAAATTTACTGGAAAAACTTTACAAATTTATTGTACAAACCCCCTTTCCTTCCATTTCATCCTTCTCCAATCCTTGTTATCAAATTTCCAACCATCAACTTTTAATGTCCGCAGAAATGTCAGTTGAAAAATCAAATATTTTCAAGCATCTTTAGAATTAAAAAACTTCCCACAGAATGTTCAATCTTGCATAAACTCGATTATACAACATCCTTTTTCGCAGAAGTTTTGTCACTTTTTCCATTACAAACATCTTGGATGAGATTGATTTGAACGAAACTCCTTGTCAATTTCCTGTTCCTTCCTGAGATGTTAGCTCCTCCTCCACTTGTTCCATCCATCTCTTACCATTCTTATTCCACTCCTTGGCCATT